GCTGATCTCCCCTTCTCACAAGGACCCAGTCAGCCTGGATCAAGGCCCATCCTGGTGACCCTACTGTAACATAATCACCTCTCTAAAGATCCCATCTGCAAACACGGCCGCCCTCTGAGGTCCTGGAGTTTTCAAAACCTCAACATATGAATTTGGGAAGACAATCAGGTCATTTCATGACAGAGGGGAGGTAAAATTGGGCCGTTTTGAAAATTTGGGTTTGGGAGTGCCGATACGGTCACCAACGGGGCTGGATGTTACTGCCTTCCTATTGCCCCATCCGGCAGGGGTTTCCACATGAGGGATGCTCAGGAGATGAAGTCTTTTCTCCACCCACATCACAGGGCCTCAGGGTGCCCCTAGTTGGTGTCCCACCAAGAATGAAGAAACACAGTCAATTAACAGAGACCCAGCAGTATGTAAAATCTGACCCTGTTTTAAAACGTAGAAACAGGAATAGATTCCACTGGGTGTGAGCATCCCCAGGAAAGAAGAGCAGAAGCTTGGGAACCTTCTGGACATCATCCCAGCCTCAGCCTGCTGATGTGTCAGCCAGAACTCCCAGGAACAGCTATGGGAGAGTCTCACAGCTGCACGGTTTGTGAGTCTGAGGGTGCAGAGCTGCTCTTCACTAAATGTACTTACCATGACCTACAGAGTATTAATCCCTTCAGCTTCAAAGAAGGCCTAAATGACAGTGCCAGGGCTTCTCCTTTGTGGTCCCCACAAGTGGCTAGGACCCCTTCATCTGAGTCGGGGACAGATGATCCAAGGATGCACAGAGGTGGTTGGCAGCCCCCTGCCTTAGCCTCCCACCCACCTCGCAGATTTATGTATGTGGGCTCCAAGACACCCCCATCATACAGTAGGCACTATGAGTGAGGCTTCCAGCATTGCTCTAGTCCTCTGTGTGGCCTTGAGAAAATCCAGCCCTTGTATGCTGCCCTGTGCTGTCTCCCACCAGACCAGTGGGTTTAGCAGGGCCTGGATCACTGCCATTCTACCTTCCTGCCTGGGAGGCCCCTCCCGGGCTATGCCCCCACCACGGGCCCTAGGTCCTACCCAAGTGGCCACCAGCAACTCTGGAAGTGAGGCACAGCACAGACCAGGCCCTATCCAAGGCCACACAAAGGCAAGAGGGGACAGCATGGAGCTCAGATCTCCACTGTTTACAGGGTCCTGCTCCATGGCTGGTTGGGTCAGGAGAGAAGTGAGGACCACGTTACCTTCATCACTGGGAGGAAAAGTGTGTGTGGGGATAGATGTCTGGCTAGGGATGCTGAGGGACTGGACTCCCTGAAAGGGCTAGCAGGGTTAAAGGGAAGGGACTCAGCCTTTCTTCTTGACTTCCTGGATCCTAGCTGTACACTTTGTCATTCTGTGGACACAGAAACTGAGGAGACCAGCTGGTCACCTGGAGTGAAGGCTGCATGCCATGGCGGCGGGGGGGGGGGGTCCTTGCCGGACTCAAGGCCCCAGGAGTAAGACAGCCTCCCTGGGTGCCTCAAGCTCATGTCTCCCTCTCTTGTGCAAAGGTACAGCCATCACCTTCCGGTCAGCCTGCTGGTATTAGTCGTGACTCCCAGGAACATCTCTGCGAGAGCCCTAAGTGACAGGCCAGCAGTACCCAGAGCTTGACTGATGGCCACATGCAACAGGCTCCTCCTCCCGGGGTAACAGGAGAGAACAGCATACTCTGAGGCCCTCTACACACATCACCCTGAATCTCACAGCACACCAGGAGAGGCACTGGCCACTACTATAGCCTCTAGTTACAGAGCCCTCAGCCCAGCCACTCTGTTAGTGTTGTGCTAATTCCTCTGGGTCATGGGGAGGGTCAAGGGTCAGCACAAATAGGACAACCCATTCCTAAGAAAGCAGTCAGATGATATCTTGACTTATTACAGACAAGCCAGCATGGAAGCTCTGCTTGTTTTCTTTGTTGTGGCTAAGGCAACCTAAACATAGCACAGAAAGTTGCTAGGTCTGTAAATAAGAGAAATGGGCCAGAGACGGCTCATCTCCATCCAGGAACCTGTGGATCCAATACCTCTCAGCCAAGGGAGTCAGCTAAAGATCTGGAACTGGCCAGATCATCTTGATTTTCTGGGTAGCCCTAAGTGGCATTACACGTCTTTACATGAGGGAGGCAGGAGGTTTGGGGAGGCAGAGATGATGAGGTAAGGACAGAAGAGACGACAACACACCAGGGTGGCCTCTCAAAGTGTGAAGGAGCAGGACAGATGCTCCCCAGAGGCTCGGGGCACAGATCTGCTGACACCTTGACCCCAGCCTGCAAGACCCACAGGAAAACAGTACATAAACCTGTGTTGTTTTAAGCCCTTACATTCATGGTCATCCATCACAGCAGCCTCAGGAGACTAAGCCATTAAGCTTCCACTCTGCTAAGTGGACCCAGAGAAATGGACCCAGCTCCAAGGTTCTGTCCTGGGGGAGAAGGCTCGTGTTCCTTGTGACTGACACACAGACAGACTGTGGGGCAAGGGACTCCACAAAGGGATTCCAGCCCTGGGCCCAAAGGGGCCACAGCTGACTGTGCCCTGAGAGGCCCTCTTGCTGCCACCTCTATTCTAGGACAGCCTTGCTCCCAGAAGCCTGTCCCTTTGTCCCCTGGGAGATCCCTGAGCCACCACATCCAGAAACCAGGCCTGCTGTCCCTTGGCCCAGACACTGAGTTTGGGTATGACAAACAGCATACAGTTGAATCTTTGGTGGGGAAGGTAATCTATTCTATCAATCTCTACCTTGGAGAATTTAATTCATTTACACTTAAAGTGATTACTGATAAGGAGAGATTTACTTGTTTACTTATTTACTTACTTATTTCATTTTGATATTTGATTTTGTGTTCTTTTTGTTCTTCATTTCCTACATTACCTTTGCCTCTCTGTTTAGTTGATTTTCTTCATCAATATTCATTTGCTTTTTTTTTTGTACTAGGGATCGAACTCAGGACCTTGCGCTTATAAGGCAGGTGCCAGAACCACTGAGCTAAATCCCTGCTCCTCATTTGCTTTTGAGTACTGTGTATTCTAGTCTTTTTCTTTGTGATTACCATGGGGATTACATACAACATCCTAAAGTGAAACACTCTAAATAGAATTTATACCAGCTCAACTTCAATAACATATAAAAACTGTTCCTTTAGAGCTTCCCCCCATCCTTTTCAGTTATTGATGTCATAAAATTACATCTCTATATATTGTGTCCCAAAAACATACATTCATCATTGTTTTAATTCATTACTCTCTTAAATCCCATAGTAAACAAAATTGGGAGTTACAGATCCTTGTTACAATAATATTATTTCATAATCACCTGTGTATTCGGCTTTACTGTAATTTTCACTTCTTCATACAGCTTTGAGTTACCATCCAGGGCCCTTTCATTACAACCTGTGGGCTTCCTGAGCATTCTCACAGGTGGGTCTAGGATAACAAACATCCACTGCTTTCCTTAAAATCTGAGACTGTCTTAATTTCTCCTATACTTTTGAAGGGCAGTTTGGATATAGCATTACTCTTGGTTGATGATATTTTTTTCTTTCAGTGTTTTGACTACACATAGCCCACTACCTTCTGGCTTTCAAAGATTCTGATGAGAAACTGCTGGTAATCTTGTGGAGGACCCTTGTACATATGAGTCACTTTTCTGCTGCTTTCAAGATTCTTTTTTTTTTTCCAAAGATTTGATTGTAATATATTGGTGTGAATCTCTTTGAGTTCATCTTAGAGTTTATGAAGCTTCTTGGATGTTTATATTCATTGTTTATAAAAATTGGGGGACTTTTGAGTCATTATTTTTCAAATAATCCCTCTGCCGCTTTCTGCCTCTCTCCCCCCTTCTCCTGAGATTCCTACAGTGCATGTTTGTCTGGTGGTGGCCCGAAGGCTCTGTTCCCTTCTCTTCAGTCTTTTGTTTTCTTTCTCTTCCTCAGACACAATAATTCCAATTATTCTGTGTTCAAATTTGTTGATTTTTGCATCTGCTCAAATCTGCCTTTGAATCTCTCTAGAAAATTTTTCATTTGTTATTGTTCTTTTCAGCTCCAGAATTTTTTTGTTCCCATTTAGATTCCTGTCTCCTTATTGATGCTTCCATTTTTGATGACTTTCTCTGCATCTTCCTTTAGTTCTCTGAACACTTTTCAGACTGTTGTTTCCAAATCTCTTATCTGGATTCACCCCAAGGGTGAGGGCACTGCAAGGGAGCGAAGAGGGGCTGTTTCCAGTATCATCGGTGCTTAAGCAATACCACTGGGCTACATCTCCCTCCTCTCAGTTCACTCAGCTTTCCCAGAAGGAATTACCCAGCCAATGTCATATAATTCCCACAGTGTCCAAGGATGAACATTCACCACGGTAGTGACAGTGACAATGACAGGTGATTATGGCCAAAGGCCAGCTGCATATGAATAGCCTGGCTTCATCTAGTCT